CGTTTAAATCCTGGAAGTTAACATTCAACATTATCATTGATATTTCTTGTCCCTAGCATTAAATTGGTCCTTTTCTTGGTTGCCTTTTGTTCTCTTATTTCTTTATGTGTCTTTAGTTTTCCTGGTAGAGCACTCCTTTCAGAACTTCTTGAAGAGTGGGTCTGCTACTGGCAAATTCTTTCAGGTCTTGTTTATCTGAGAATGTTTTTTATCCTTTCTTTCCATGTAAAAGAAATAGTATTCTTGGTTGAAACTCTTTTTCGCTTAACACTTTGAATATATTTTTCCATTCTTTCCTTGCTTGCATGGTTTCTGATGAGAGGTCTGAGGTTAGCCTGATGGGATAACCTTTATAAGTAACCTGACATTTCTTTCCTGCCAATTTTAGTATCTCGTCTTTGTAGATTTGGCTAGTGTGGCTATGATGTGCCTTGAGATCTTCTTGGGTTGATTCTATTAGGGGTTCTTTGTATTACTTGGGTCTGGATATTTGAATGCCTCTCTAGATTTGGAAAGTTTTCTTCCAAGATTTTATAGACTAGATTATCACTGCCCTTATTAGTTTCCTCACCTTCTGGGATACCGATTATCCAGATGTTTGGGCGCTTAGTGCTGTCTAGTATGTCTCGTATAGTATTCTCATTTTTTTTTGGTTATTTTCTCAGTTTTTTGGTTGTGTTTTCTAGATCAGACGTTTTGCCTTCAACATCCAAGATTCGATTTTCTGCACGGACTAATTTGCTTTTAATAACTTTTGAGGGAGGTTTTGATTTCCGGAATGGCAGCCTTCATCTCTAATAGCTCCATTTGATTCTTTTTTTATGGTATGTATTTCCTCTTTCAGTTCATGGAAGAACTTCAACACCTTCTGGAACTCGTTGTCTCCTTTCTCCTGCTTCTTCTGGAGTTCATTACCTCTCAGCTCTTGCATCTCATTTATTTCGTCACTATGAATATTCTGAATTCTCTATCAGACATTTCCAGGAATTCTGCTGTACTGTCTGTGGATGATGAGGGATTGTTCTTTTCCCGTAGGGGGTAGATATTTTCTTGGTTTCTCATGTTTCTTGTGCCTCTGCCGTGGTTTCTGGTCATTCTGTGACAAAATCTCTCCTCCACTGTGCCTGTCTGAATATTTCGGGAGTCTAGAAGATGGAATTTAGAGCATAGCTTCCCTGAACAGGCCAGGACACACCTCAGCTTTAAAAATCCATTTTCATAAACTTTTTTGAAGACCCCTTGTATGTTATCTCATTTAAACCTTCCACTAACCCTCAGGGTTGGTATAGTTGTAACTCATTTTACAGATGAGCTGAGGAACAGAGCGGTTTGGTAACATTCCTGAGGCCACTGAGACTGGAAGGAGCATGCCAGGATTTGAACCAAGTCTGTCTGGCTCGAAAGTTCAGACTCTTTCCTATGCCTTCCCTTGCCCCAACAGTGCTACAGGTGGGATTTAAAGGTTCCTCTGAACACACATAACTCCTCTCCTCCCCCCACCAGCCTGAAAGCCCCTTTGGCAGCTGTGCTTTGAAGTTGTCTTCGGAAGGTTCTTAGAAAAACCCAAGTGCCTCAGCCACTCATCCCAGCTCTCACAGGAAGCCTTGAGCTTAGGAACTGTCACATGGCAAAGGTGGGTTGGGTGGGGGGTGGAGAGGTTGGGCATGCAGGACTGGGGGGCCATGAAAAATAGAAACATTGGATCCTCTGTTCAAAAGTGATTAAGAATTAAAAAGAAATTGTCTGTTTATTTGATTTCATTTGTTATTACTATCTTTTAATTTGACCAGAGAGAGACAGAGACAGAGAGAAAGGGAGAGTGAAAAAGCAAGCTACCAGTTCCAGGACTCAGAATCGAGCCACCACGCCACCTGCCGGTCCCCAAAGATTATTAAAAATTTCAAGATGACGAAGAACATTAAGCCAAGCAAGTGACCCTTTTAAATGCAGGCCCTGTGCAGTTGCACAGGCTGTATGCCCTTGAAGGCAGCCCTGTGGGTTAGGGATGTGGGTCACCTAGTGATCAAGGCCTGGCTTCATCCCTAATTCCAGGAACAGGAATTTTCTTCTCTACACTGCGGTGGATGGATATCATGACCTTGATCCAAACCATGCCCTTTCAGCCCTGACCCCATCTGTCCACCCATCTAGGGTCCCTGGGTCACCGACCTGTGGCCCTTGGAATGGTGTCAGGAAAGGAGGTACGTGGATGAGAGTGAGAATCAGGGCTCATTCCTGGAGAGAGACGAGGACCCACAGAGGTGACATCTTCCCTTGGCTGTCCCTTGTCCCGGCCCAAGGGGGAGGCTGGACTCATATATCGCAGGGGGTTTCTAAACTCGGATAACCTTTCCTCTGAGCCACTGGCGCCAGGATGGCCTCAGTGAGGGCCCAGGGTGTCTGTGCTGGGCCAGCTGACCTCTGACCTGGCCAGTTGGGCCTGCTGACTTTAGCACTCAGCCCTTCCTCTGGCTCAGGAGGAAGTAGACTCCCAGGAGCGGGGGATGGGTCCAGAATACAGGGGGCAGGTGCCTGGAGAAGGCCCTGCCCCCTCTGGGCCTTCATTTCCTCAGCCACAAATGAAGGGGTCAAACTGAGAGAAACTGGTGCCCTTGGAGGTAGGATGGTCCTGGCAGGAGGAAGGCAGGGGAAAACAGTTTGGAGGAAGAATGAGGCTGGAGTCCCAGGCAGGAAGCTGCTCCTGACGCAGGGGAGGCGGTGGGCGTGCCCTCTGCCCCAGAGTCCCTGGGCCCTGGTCCTGTGGGTCATTTCCTTCTTTGCCCAGAAAGGAATTAAGTCTTGATTCTTTCTTCCCCCCTCAAGTAAGAAGTGACTCAATGAGGATAAAATAAAACAAAGAGAATTGAAAATTGAGAAACAGGGAGAGAAAGTTCTCAGGCCTCTGGACAGGGCAGGGTTGAGAGCCCAAGCACTGAGTGGATAGCAATCGAGCGCCTATCGTATGCTGTACTGGGGTACTCACCAGAGACTGGGGAACAGTGGTGAGTGAGACAGCACCTGCCCTCAG